TCCACTCTGTTACTTTATCGGAAAGTCAAAACCGCTATCACTACTTCCCTAAGCAACGTTCAGAAGAAGGAGCCGTAAACAGCATTGCAAGAGAATTCTTGAAATTCGCAATGTGCTGTCACTCGGGCTATCTTTTATACCATGGAGATTCAGTTATGGGTATTTTGATAACATTTGACGAATCCCTGCCTTATTTTTGCTTTTAAAAATATTTTGCAGAGCGGTGTGGTGTACGCAGATGCAGTCTCCTGTCGAACGTTATTTGAACTGAAGTCGGTGATGAACGCATCCTTCCAGGACTATGATTTCTCGAATACGAAGAGTGATGCGTTCTCTCTCGTTCCAGATTTCGAGGTGAGTATGCATAGGGTGGCACCACTTGCTACTGCGCCGCACTCTCGAAAAAAGTAAGTCAAATGCGAAAAATAAATCATATAAAAATATTGGAAAAATATATATACGAATGATTGCTTCCAGACATTGACTAAGCTGGTTGATTCGCAACTTTCCGCTACAGTGACGAATTATTACGAAATTAAGCGGGCACTTTGGGCGGAAGTCGACAAAGTTATCAAGATTAATGAATGCAAACTGTACAGGTGCTCATTTCTTTTGCTCAGAAAATTATTTTTTTTGGTGGGAGGGGGTTCATGGTTGGCCTTTTTTATGCGGTTTTGCCGCAAAAACGCACATAGACAGACAGGACAGTTGCAGTATACGTTTTTACTGCAACAGGCAGCAAAAACATACATTGCGATTGTCCTCTCTGTGTGTGTGTTCGTTTGTCCGGGTCTTTTTACTTAGCAACCACGCAAGTTTTGGTACTGAAATTTAACCTGTGTTTTCCCTGACCAGGTGTGATTTGAGAAACATGATATCAGCTATTACGCACGCCTGCATCCCATCCGCAGGCATTTAAAAGTTTCGATGGGAAAATCGCTAACTCGAGAATGAAAAAAGCTAGGAAGCTGAAACTTTAGGGGAATATTTCCTACTCATGTACGAGCAGGAAGTTTCAAATTCAGCTCCCTAGAACCGCCCGAGACTCACGTACAAACACTAAAGTTTTGGCGGGAAAATTGCTGGGTTGGGTACGAGAAGGCTAGGAAGCTGGGATTTTGAAGGAATGTTGCGTGCTCATATGCGACTAAAAGACTTCAAATTCATCTCATGGATCTTTTTTCGCACACTAGCAACTTTCTGTTTATCACTGAAGCTGAAACCTGCACCACATAGCTGCACAATTAACTCCCTGAATTTCAGGGCTAGTCTTCCTCAAATTCTAGCTGCTGGAGTTTCTTGCGATCTTCCTATAATACGAAACAGTGTAAAAACGCATGGTCGCGGCGGTCCGCTTGGTGTTACTTCTTCCGTGAAGCTAAAATATCGGGGATAGTGGGAGACGTATCAGCCACGCCCGTGATCTTGAGCAGTTAGTGCTACTAAGAGCCTATCACTTAGATTTCGGAAGAATTTATCTTTTTTGGCGAGTGAGATTGAAACTCACTGGCATACCGCTGCATCGTCTAGGCGCATGTTTTTCGAAATCTCGTGATACTGGTGTACTCATTCTTCGCTCGGCAAACATCTAGAGCGCTAGACAAGTATTCCCTGAGTATTCATGTTGATTTTGGTCGATAAAGACCATTTCTTTGATCCAAGCAAGGCTCTCATACCACGAAACTTAAAAGCACTATAGTTTTATCCATAGATTTCTGGAAGTTGTATTGGTACACTGCCCGCCTGTAAAAGCGTTTGCATGCTGCAGGGATTGCGTAATGTGCGATGTATTTTGTTAGGTGACGTCTATTTTTTGCAGTTACCGCACTGGCTACACCGGCGATCCGTTCGGCGAGGATGGCGTGATGTGGTCATTCACATATTTTTTTCATAACAAATCACTGAAGCGCATTCTGTTCATGTCCTGTCGTGCATTTCGTGCAGATCCAGCACAGAATCTTTCAGCTGAACAGATCTGGGGAGATTCTTGTAAAAAATCCTCTCTGGAATGAACACCGGTCGGAATGGTTTTGACTCAAAACAACCTTTTTTTTAGTAATTTTTTGTTGAAATTTTTTGAAATTCAAAGGCACATTTGTGCACGGAATTGTGTTTAGCTGGATCTCATAGTTTCAGGATGCTGCAGCTGCTGCCATTGTTCAGGTATACCTCGCATGCGTCCGTTAATCAGGTGTGTTTTCTCAAATAGTTTTCCTCTGTATCCCAATTAGAGTTAGTCTTTTTTGTTTCTTTGTTATATCTTCGAGTGATTTTTATCAAAGCAACCACATACTTGGTTTTTGCATTATTTTTTTATTCTTCTCTTTTCGATGGAATATCACACAGTTTCTCTTTTTCATTTTTCCGCATATTTTCTCCGATAAATTTTGGACATTATTGTACATAATATTTTGCATTTTATCATTCGTTTTTCATATCCTCATTTTAGCCCTCTTGTTCTCTCCCTTTCTCTGTCTCTGTTAATTTCGGTGTTGCATTGTTAATTTGTGCCGGCTTTCTGGAGAAATCTATTAACCCTATCCCATACAATACCTGTGCTACAGATCTCCTAATCTTCTTGTCTCCCAGCTGACCCATGTGTGTGTGTATACTGGGCCATTTTTGTTGTGCAATTATTACTTCTGCATTTATTATATATACATATGTATATCATTTGTGAAATTTCCTGTACATTTGCGTAATCAAAAATCCCTCACGCAGGCTGGCTAAGCCGCCTCTTGGTGCATAAATGTATTTTTTACAAACGATGAGTTCTCGCACTGGTTCTGCTAAATTTATCATCATCCTCTTCTTGGTGTGCTGACAACAAATTCTGTCCGATAATTCGAATCACAACTGGAACCAACTACATTTATAAGCATATCTGAAGGCCATATCTGT